CTACCAACGGAGTGCCTCCGTGACGCCTTCAGCACAGACGGCAGCAAGGCAACTAATACGATGTGATGGTTTCACTGAGCGACGAGGTTGCGACTGCCAACGAAGTGCCTCCGCGACGCCTTCAGCACAGACGGCAGCAAGGCAACTAATACGATGTGATGGTTTCACTGAGCGACGAGGTTGCGACTGCCAACGAAGTGCCTCCGCGACGCCTTCAGCGCAGACGGCAGCAAGGCAACTAATACGATGTGATGGTTTCACTGAGCGATGAGGTTGCGACTACCAACAAAGTGCCTCCGCGACGCCTTCAGCACAGACGGCAGCAAGGCAACTAATACGATGTGATGGTTTCACTGAGCGATGAGGTTGCGACTACCAACGAAGTGCCACCGCGACGCCTTCAGCACAGACGGCAGCAAGGCAACTAATACGATGTGATGGTTTCACTGAGCGATGAGGTTGCGACTACCAACGGAGTGCCTCCGCGACGCCTTCAGCACAGACGGCAGCAAGGCAACTAATACGATGTGATGGTTTCACTGAGCGACGAGGTTGCGACTGCCAACGAAGTGCCTCCGCGACGCCTTCAGCACAGACGGCAGCAAGGCAACTAATACGATGTGATGGTTTTACTGAGCGACGAGGTTGCGACTACCAACAGAGTGCCTCCGCGACGCCTTAAGCACAGACGGCAGCAAGGCAGATAATACGATGTGGATCATCGATAGAGAAACAAGAAATTCAAAGAGGTAAGTTTGCAAAGTTTGCCTGTTGTATGTTTGCTTTACAAGTGGCTAATAGGCTGGTTTGAAACGTAGCAGTGTTCTGACTTGTCTCTGTGTCTAAGCACCAATATGACATCTATGGATGCTATTACGCACATAAGACAACAACCTGAAGCTGCCTAAACGCCATGTTTAGAACGAGCATCTTGAACACAAATGCAAGGCTTGCTGGCATAAAGCTCTCATATTACAAAGGTAGACACAAAAGGAACGAGACACTTGTACGGCGTGCGGGACTTTTTAGTGTTTATCAGAGTCCTCGTGATAATTCATACATTAACTTTGAATTCCTTGCCGTATGAAACATGGCAGCAACTTATAAAAGTGCTGGAAACGAACTCGTCAGATCAATGCTTCACAGCTCAGCACATAACTATCCTATCAAACAGCAGCAGTGGCGGCCTTGAAGAATACAGGTATGTTTCTTCAGAACAATCAGCCGCAATCATTCGGCTGATGAAAAAAAGCAACTTTCGCGAAGTAGTGCACACTACTATGGTAGATTTCAATGGAAAACACAGCGTCTTGCCTTTCGATACAATGAGCGAGCATGCAGCATAACTGTCCTGTAAGTAAATAAGCCCACATGCGCTTCAAACCAATCTACTAGCCACTTGTACAAGAAACAGACAACATGAGAACTTTGCAAACTTACCTCTTTGCATTTCTGATTTCCTTATCGACGATCCACGTCGTATTAGTTGCCTTGCTGTAGCTGGCGAGCCACTCGTGCGCATCGCCGTCTGTGCAAAGGTCGACGCGGAGGCACTTCACGTCAGATGAGCCTACCGAACTGGCGTCTATTTCGCACGTAAGTTTGCGCGTGGCTGCCATTTCATTCGGTACCGCGTCGTTGACCGAAACGCGCTTCACGTTTGATGTGCTCGCGTCTAATTCAGACGTGAGCGTCTGGGCGGCTGCCATGATGGAATCGCGTTTCTGCAAGGGTAGTTGCTAGCGGCCTGGTGTGGGACAGAAGCGCGATGCACGTTACCGAACGTTAGATATTTCGGACTTTAGTACGCATGAATCAAAGTTCCCGTATTAAGTTCGCGTACGGCGAAGGGCGTTGATAGAAGAAAACAAAACAAAAAAACAGCCTCTCCTTTGCAACTCTGCGGGTAGCACTGCTCAGCTCAGCTCCTACACGGAGAGGGAAAGAGGGACACAGAAAGGCAGAAGGGAAAGGTAGAGAAAGTGTTGCGACAGGTTGTGGGTGCTTCCGTACGATCGAACAGCCAGAAAAACTCCGCACATTCCATCGCGGGCGCACGCGTGCGTCACCAGCACGTCACCTACAGGCGTGCATCTGACCTACAAAGAAAAACCAATAGCGCGTGAGCAATCATGCCGCTGGCGCTGGCATCCTCCTCGCACTCTTTCTTTTCCCTCTTTCTTGCGATGCGTGGCCAGCAATTCCAAATTCGCGACTGGAAGTCTTTGTGGGGCACAAAGCTTGCAATCTTGAATACATCTATATTGCGGGAGTGCTATCACCCGTGTAAAGTTGTTTGCGCCTCGCGGCGCACGCATTTCGCACATATGCCTAGTTCACACTGAAACATCCGCTTTCTACAGCGACCGAAATTCCCCTGCCGCGGAAACGCAGCGTCGTTCGCACTGGACGCGCCCCGCGCCGCCGAATATGCCATCTACTACGGGGGCGAACGCGGGATGGATGCGCTGTCACCCGGTTGTTGTCGCGGCTCGCAAACGCTACTTAGGGAGCCTACATGAACGGCCGTTCATGTAGGCTCCCTAACGCTACTACGCTATCCGGTGGTGTATACTTCGACGATTCTCGTACGTAAGAAAAGACAGTAGTGCTTTTTTTGCTGGCAAGTGGCTGTCTTGTAATGCACGAATAGCAGAAAAACCCCCGACGCCAGCGGCGTTGGTGGGTTCGTTTTGCTCTGCAAGACAAGCTCGGTCATGCCAACAGCAAGCTCGGTCACCTCTTTCACGAAACACGGAGGCGAAGTAGGCACAGAGTAGGTTAAACTCCCGTTGGTTTCAACGTTCAGTTACGTGCACTGCGGCATAACAAGTGAGTAGGGCTTGGCCGCCATTTTTCAAAATTCTTTGACTAGTGCTCCTGTTGGTCCGCGGTGACCGATTCGGCGGCAGACGCCGCAAAAATCGGTCCGAGAACGATCGGCGCAGAGAGGGCCCTTTCGGCGGATCTCGCCGCCGCCGAACCGGATTCGGAGCACTTTCGGCGGCCGGAATGCTCAGTGTGAACGTGGCCTTATGCCGCATTTCGGGTTTACGACTATCGATTGCTAGGTGGCGTTGTGCTCGCGACCGTTTATCACCACCACCACCATCATCATCATGGTTGTTAGAACGGTAACGTCAGCGGTGACGCCTGGCAGTAAGTAAGCCTTGTTGGTGGCAGAGGAGAGAGAAGCGGTTCTCTTTGACAGGTGGCGGTTGGCGCGAACGGTTGTCTCTAGCGGTGCATCCCCGGTGCGCAATACCACGGGTTGCGCAGTGAGGGCCGTGGCGAGTCAAGCGTTGGCGAAGCCGCCTTGTGTGTGTTCTTTTGTTTGTTATGTTTTTGAGTGTTGTGTAATATTGTGTAAGGCAGTGTTAGCGTGTAGATCACAATTGATGTATATTAATCCGGCTGATGATTTCATCATTCTAAATGTAGTTAAAGAAATGTGTCTGTTGTTTTGGTTAGTTCCGACCGCGTCTACTGTGTCCGTTCACTCCAAGAGCGTGGCGCTCACCACAGCGAGGCCCCACAATATATACACGTACACACGCACGAACACACATGCAGTATAATTAAATTGACTGTCCGTATGTCTGTCGGTCCATACGCCCGTCTGTATGTCTGTCTGTCCATTGATCCTGTGAGCACTCCAAGTACCACCATCTCGCATCTTCTTATATATTCATCATATACAAGTACCACCATCCAGCGTACATTCCGAGGACTAACCAGGAGGTGACTACCTGCTACTACTACATACATCGGGGAAGCACGACCCGCGGTTTGAGAAACTTCGCCCTTAAAAAAGGCATAATCAGTCGAATGGCCACAGGCTTTCGCACAATATACACAGCGCACTACAATTTTTTTTCCCGTATGAATGGATGCTATGAGGTGACGGGACGCACATGTTTAGGAGGTCACCACCTCACTGTGTGTTAGGATGTTTACAAAATTGCGCCGAATGTGTAGCAACCACGTGTTATAGGAGCCAGTCACACAGGCCATGGTCATGATGCGTTACTTCTTTTTGCTTCCAGAAGGCGACCCCGCCAAATAGGAGCACTGTGAGAAAAAAGTTAAAGATGTAAAAGGCGCATTCGTAAGGACACCAGATTACGTGATCGTAACGCGGTGGATAGCATGGCCGGCATGTGTTTTGCGATCGAGAGGTTATGGGTTCAACTCCTTTTTTTTAGAAAAACCACCGAAGGCCCTCATGACAACCCTATTACATGGGGGGACAGACACCGCTTTGTTAAGCAATTCAAACGTTGCGAAAAAAATTCTGAAAGTAAATGAAGAGAAGCAATGTACAGTAATCATTTTCAAACACAAACATCATGAAACAGCAGCCGCATTTACCAGAAAGTAACCTCAGATGACAATAAAAAGCAAAATTAACATACTATGATTATGTGGTAAGTTGAGCATAAAGAAGATTCTGTAATTTACCAAGATTGTGTTCCATGGCGATGTGTGATTGTAATGTGTCCCACTCGGTATAGTTGTGCATGGCAAAAATGAATGAGCGTAATGTGAAGACGGGTAGTTTGTACGTTTGACTTTATATGTATGATCACGACCGTGGGGAAAGATAGCTAGCGGTGACTGAAAGAATTCATCGTAGAGAGAATAGTGATGACAAAGTTTATGGAACAGTGATAAAATAGAAATTTTTTGGCAAAGTGCGAATTCTCAAACTCAGCGGTCTTTAACGAGGTCACGCGACTGTAGTGGAAATAATTATAAAAAATCAATCGCACACCACGGTTCTGCAGGGCTTCTATGGTATTGATGACATATATTTGTTGTGGGTCCCAGATGGCAGATGCGTAATCTAATTTTGGACGGAGCAACGTTGTCTACGCTACTTTTTAACAGCTTTTTTTTCTTTGCCATCTTATCGCTTAAATTTCTTGACATCATTTTTGTAACCGAAACATATACGTGGGTGTTGGCGCATCTCATCATGCTTTCTGTGGTCCTCCTAGGCTGGACCTTCGACTGTCGTGCACATTGGACTTCCAGCTTTACCCCTTCGACACGCAGAAATGTCACATCATTATGCGACCATGTGAGTGCGTTTTTTTCTTTTATTTACTGAGAATATGTAATCGTACGAGTTTAACAAAGACTAGTTTTAACAAAGACGTCTTGCTCACAGTGCAAAATGAGCTGCCGCAGGTTCATTCTGACGGACGCAATTTTTCGCGAACAATGAAGGTCATCGAATGCGTGTTCAAAAAACGTTGCTAAAATACTGCCCAATAGACAGTTTAAAAGGCTACTATACCACCTATAAATTTCTGTTTGTGACGTGGCAGTGTTCCATTAGTCAGGTTCTAGTACTCCCACTCCTCCACTTTGTTCTCTTGTTTGTTTTTGCAAGGCTGCTCCTTGCTCATTATCCATTTTCCTTTACCCTTCCCCTGCCCCTAGTATAGTTAAGCAAACCAGATGGTTCAAATCTGATTATCTTCCATATTTTCCCTAATTTATTTCTCTCTGACTCTTCCTAGCATTACTCATTCATTCATTCACTTATTGGTATCACATGACAAACCGACGATCTGACTATGAGACACGCCGCAGAGAAATGCTAAAGAAATTTGGATGATCTGGTGATCGTTAACGTGCTCCGACACCACAATGACTCGGCAGAGAACAACGCATTGCTGTAGATTACGAGACACTGCAATAGTAAAGGAATACGTCTACTTGGACAGGTAGTAACCACCTTATCTGAACCACGTGGATGAAATAACAACAAGGAATAGGGATGGGGTGGAGCACATATGGGAAGCCTTCTGAAATTATGAATGGCAGTTAACCACTATCCCTCAAAAGGAAGGTATCTAACAGCTGCATCTTGCCGGCGCTTACATACGAAGCAGAAGGTTTGCAAAGAGGGTTCAGCTTAAATTTAGCACCACGCAGCGAGCAATGGAAAAGAAAGCGATAGGTAAACAGACAGGAAGAGAGCAGAGTGGGGCAAGAAACAAACGGGGAATAAGTATATCATAGTTGAAACAGAGAAAAAGAAATGGATATGGACCGGGAGCGTAGCGCGTAGACAGGATAACCACGGGTCGCTATGTTCTGAAATAAGGCAAACCCATTAAGGGGAGACAGACTATTAGTTGAGCAAATGAGATCAAAAAGTTCATGGGCATAACGTGGCAACAGAAAGTACATACCCGGGTCGATTGGCGGTACAGGGGAAATGCCTTTGCTGTGTAGTGGGCATAGCCCGGCTGATGACGATAATGGTGGTGGTGATGATTATGATGATGATGATGATGCTAGGTCCTAAGTAGTTTTTAGTCAATAAAAGTAAGGAACGCTGTTGCAAGAATCATACATAGACCTAACATACAAAATTCCGAGAAATTTCGTGAACAATGCCGTCAAAATACGAAAACAACACATTCAAGTTCGTGACATCACACACGGAATTTCGGCGCAAAATTTAAAAATGAAACTCTGACCGTTTTGTCCGCCATTATAATCCCATGGTAGCCAAATTAACAGTATTAGAGCTCTAAGGTACAATTTATCAATCTAAGCCGATTGTTTCGTTCACTTTAGTGGCCCTTTGAGGCCATTTCTCTTTGAAAACGCAGACGCGTACACAGAGAACGAGATCACCCTGATCTGGAAGGAGGACAACCCGGCGACACTCACGCACCCGCTCACTCTCTCCGAGTTCATGCTCGTCGACAGCTACAACACCACATTCATCCAACAGCTGCCAACAGGTTAGACCACTTTTCTCTTACTCTTCAGTAAATCTAGCACCAAGTACCAGAGTTGTGAGTCTTTCAAGCACCTCCAGCTTTCCTTTAAAAAAAAGGGGGGGGGGGTTGAAATAAAACTGGTTCATTATATGTTGTTCTGAAAGGACATGCGGGAACGTGCGCCAGCATGGCGCTGTGGCGAAGATGAAAAGCGCCTCGGCGACGGTGAGCGCGGCTGCCGTCCAGAAGGCGGTGGCGTGCGCTGTTGAGCCAGGTAGTCCTCAATGTCCCGGGGTCGCTGGCCATACCGAGGAGGCGCTGAATATACTGAAAAGCCGCGCAGCCCGAGGCGGTGGTATGGACAGTGGTGGTACAAATGGTCCGCTTCACCGCAGTGGAAGCACAAAGGTCGGCGATCAGGAGTGCGCCAAACATAAGATTTCCGAGGCGCAGCACGTCTGTCGTCAACGTAGTGTGCTGGTTGTTCCGCAAGATGCACAGGGCTGGCGTAAACGAGGGGTGGGGGCGTGCGTGTGTTCTCGTAGTACCGTAGAGGCTGCGCTGACTGAAGTGAAACCGTAGGAGGTGCTTGAACAAACAGCGGGGAAGAGGAAGCTGGGCGCTTCAAGGCTTCCGCATAGGTCGCACGGTGGTAGTCAGCCGGGGCGGGTGTGGCGTTATCCAGACTCACAGGGTCACGAAGGGCATGATGCAGCTCGTCCTTGACGATGCTTGCAATGGAACTCACCGTAGGTAGCGGTGGTGTGGCAGCCTTTCGCAGCTCCCCGCGTACTATAGAGCGGATAAGGTCGCGCAGACACTCGGTGTTGCTCCCAAAAGCCGTGAGAACTTGAGCAGTGGGCGTGTTCACTTGCCGCTCATACGGGTGGGTCGATGCTGAAGCATCTTTTCCATTGTGACGGCTTCGGACAAAAACTCGGCGACCGTGCTCGGAGGGCTCCGTACAAGGCCAGTGAAAAGCTGCTCTTTAACTCCCCGCATCAGGTGACGCACCTTCTTTTCTTCTGTCATACTCGGATCAGCCCGTCGGAACAGGCGCGTCATATCTTCCACATAGGTCATGACAGTTTCATTGGGCATCTGGATGCGGGCCTGGATCGCTCGCTCCGCTCGTTCGTGGCGATCAGCACTTCTGTAAGTATCCAACAGCCGGCGGCGGCATTCGGGCCACGATGTCATCTGTTCCTCGTGATTCATGTACCAGGTACGTGCTCCATCCTCCAAATAGAAGTACACACGTCGTAGTTTGGCCGCATCGTTCCAGTCGTTCAAAGCAGCCACGCGTTCGAAGTCGACCAACCAGTCCTCGACGTCTTCGAGCTCGGTGCCATGAAACGGTGTCGGAACCTGTGGACTTCCGAGGGTGTACCGAGTCACCGGGGGGTTTTCCGTACCTGTTAAAGTGGTTTGAACGGACGTGCTCATCATACTTGGTTGAACTGTAGGGTCAGCTTCAGGTGGCAATCCCCTGATCCTGTGGCTTGTCCGATGAACGGGAGTGTTGACTCGCACTGGGCTTGTGGTGTCGCTTCCAGGAGGGGCCTGAAACATCCGTGAGGGGCTACCCCAGCACCTCCACCAATTGTCACGTCGCTCCAGGGGGTGTCGGCAAGATTTATTGACGTCTGAGCAACAGGGCTCTAACCAAGCGCGTCGGTTGGGCTTGCTTGCCAGAGCAGAGGGGGGGGGGGGGGTTGTTGTTGTTGTTGTTGCCCCTTCGCACTGGCACATACCCACTATGGGGGATTGGCCATGAAATCTAGAAGTATCCTAAATGATATATATTAAAAGGTTTATCCTTAATCAAAAAACTAATGATGTAATAGAAAATAATCATTAACTAAAAAGGAATATTAATCTAAACAAATAATTAAAGATTGAATCAAGAAGAGAAAAGGTGAGGTAATACTACAGTGGAAGACAGAAATTTTGAGTAGACCAGACAATCGAGCTTATCTCACCCGGTCACAATCAAATGAATATGCAAATTTCATTCAAAATTAGACAAGTGTCGTCAGAAATATATTTAAGCAGGCATTATTATGACATGCGCTTTGATTCTCGAATGAAATTGCATACAGCATCGAATACGCTCCTGTGGCAATGTCCCAAGCTAAAGGCACCGAAACTTAGAACATTATCTGCAGTTAAATTTAAACCTACTGCTTGAAAAGGAACAATTAAAAGTCTTTTCCTAATTAATGAATAGTTTTTACATGTTATAAAGTAATGCTCTATTGTTTCCGTTTCTTCACAGAATGGACACAGGGGGGATATCGCCAGACCAGCTCTGTGCAAGTAAAAGTTTAATGGAGGGACACGGCATCGAAATTTGGTTAAAATAACTGCTAACTTTTTAGATTGACTCCACTGAGGTTTCCAGGGGTATGTTAGGTGCTGATAGTCCGTATGTTTAGTAATATTTTCCATAATATCCGTATAAATAGCCCATTTTCTATATCTGATCGACACTATGTGTTCCGATTCTGGTAGTACCGAGATCACAGGGCCATCAAGTGTGGCTCGAGATAGTGAATCGGCTATTTCATTCAACCGTATGCCACAGTGTCCCGGGACCCAGACTAACTTCAGGAACTTCACATGAGGTGGAACTAATGTTTGTATTGTCGCTAGAGCTCTTGATTGTTCTGAAGCTGTGAGAGTAGTACACAGCGAAAGAGAATCAGTAATTATCATTGCACTCTCTTCGTTTGAAGGAAGTTTTCGTAGCGCTAAAATAATAGCCAGGAGCTCAGCTTCGAAAACCGGAGTGAAGTCTGGTAGTCTTACCGAGAATGACCAACCGAGGTAATCAGAGACGATTCCTACTGCTGCCTTTTCTTTATTCACAGAAGCGTCTGTGGCTATTATGTTCTTTATTTCCGCATGAGCTATGTAGTCTTCTAACCTGTCATTTAAGTAACTCGAAGATTGAAACTTAGATAGTGGGGGAAAAATTTCATCACATTCTATCGTAATATTGTGATTTAATGCTTTGGTTCCAATTACCGATCTGATATCCACCTTTATGCTTTCAAGTTTCTTTTGTACAAAAATAATCTGGGGAGTACGAAAGCGTGGCCAGTGAGCGAGGAAGAAGGCGTCGGGGTCACTAATAAAGGCATATGCAGACCGTCTCGCTGATAAGCCATAAAATTTCAAGTATGTTTGTACTGTTAAGATACGGAATCGGCAAAGAATAGTTGGGATGCGAGCTTCCTGATATAGTACATTAATAGCGACATACCTGGGGAGTCGCAAACACAACCGTAACGCTTCTCGCTCTAATAGAACTAACGGTTTAATTTTGTACGTAGGGCCACCCGAAAATAATATACACCCAAATTCGAGTATTGGGCGCATGTACATTTTATATATCATTAATAAGGTGTGTCTACGTAACCCATATTTTCTGTTGCTCAACCTTCGCAATAAACCTGAAGCTCGTTGTGCCTTTGCCACGATATAGTCTATGTGAGGGCTCCAGTTAAGTTTCTCGTTATAAATAATGCCCAAATATTTGATAGACTCTACTTGTGGAATCGGTTCCTGATTATAAAGTACTGAAATTTGAATAGAATCTGCTATAGGGAACACCAGGAGCGCACTTTACTGATGTTTAGAGACAATGAAATTGAATGCAGCCAAATTTCAAGAGAATACATGTACTTTTGCAATTTTTGATGCAAAGAATAAATGTCACTGTCTGCAACGAAAAATGCAATGTCGTCTGCATAAATGTAGACAGTGATATCTCGTTCAATGGGAATTGAGCTCATCAACACATTGAATACAGCGGAGATAGGACCGCCCCTTGAGGTACTCCACGTTGCTGTTTGAATTTAGATGAGTGACATCCATCCTTTGCACAATAAAATTCTCTCGATTTTAGAAACTCTGCTACCCAATCAACAATATATCGCGGAAAGTCACATTCGTGTAAAGAATTAATAAAATTGAGTGCTCAACGCTATCATAAGCTTTAGCTATGTCTAGTGTTACTAGTACCGCGTATTGTCGTCTTTTTCGGGCAAGCTGTATTCGGCTCTCTAAGTCGGCATGAGCACACCAAATTGAGCATTCGCTACGAAAACCTATTTGAAATGGTTTCAATATTAGCTTGTCAGCCATCCAAACTTTTAATCTATATTGAGAACTCTCTCTATAATTTTGATCAGGTGAGATGTTAGAGAGATTGGTCTGATGTTGTCAATGTTAAAACCTGACCCTTGTTTTTTTAATATGGGAATCACTCTAGCTATTTCCAGTCATGTGGTATCCAGGCATTGCTTAAGGAATAGTTTATAAGGTTGAGGACGTCGCCGGGTGATATCTGGAATAAAATTTTAATCATAGGAACTGTTATACCGTCAGGACCAGGAGCCGAAGAGGGTAAGTTTCTAATTACGCTTGACATTTCGGACAATGTCACTTTTTCGTAGTCAGTCTTTATAGAGGACTTTTGCCAGTTGATTGTCAAAGTCGACGAAAATCTGTTAGCTAAACCTCTTCCGATTGCCTCTAACGAATTAGTCATTTCTTCCGTCGATAACCTGTCATAATCAGAGTTAGCTAGAGACGGCAGAATTTTGCGCGATCTCATATATCGGAATAACGCTTTCTTATTTCTAGGTTTGGAAAGAAAGTCGAAATGTTTTTTGTCATAGTCTTCTTTAGCTTTAGCCACGGTGCGCTTAAATGTAGCAGCAATAAACTTGTAATCTGCCCAATTTTTGGGGGACTGATTATGAATTAGCTGCTTCCAAGCCGCTTGTCGTCGTCTATGATCACGAGAGCACTCAGAATTCCACCACTGACTACAAGGCTTTCTCGTATCAGACTCAATAGAAAATTCTGCTTTTTTGAACGTTCTTTAATTACCGCACTTAATTTCATGGCTTTATTTTCATCGTTGTCTTCAGTGGTGGTAGTCAAAGCAACTTCTAGGTCATTTTTAAATTTGGAATAATTGATAAAGGTTCGAGCTTGGGAGTAAGATGGAATAATGGGGCAAGAAATTTCAAACAGTACTGGTAAGTGGTCACTGTTGGTGGCGCAGTCTAGAGTAGTCCAAGATACGCTAGAAATACCCGAGCTTATAAAACTCAAATCTAAGGCAGAGCGGGATCGGTCTCGGATAAATGTGGGAGTTCTAGCGTTGAGGCATGATAAATTATGGTCTATAGACCAGTCCCACAAGCGTTGTCCACATTGATCAGTCCTAAAACCCCAACTAGTGTGGTGAGAATTAAAATCTCCAACCAAAATTTTTTTTGTGCACCACGAATTAACAGCCATGTCTAAACATCGCGTGTCTTGTACACCCAGAGGAAAGTAAAGATTTACCAGAGAGAAGGGAGAGCATCCAGGCAAGGTGATGTCTAAAGCGAAAATTTCACATTCGGGGGATATACTTTTGTACGAAGTTTTGATCTTTGAACTAATTTTATTATTGACAAAGAACGCTAAACCTCCACCTTTGGATGGGCGATCCAGGCGAAAAGACCGGAAATTAGGTAGGTAAAACGAATTATGTGCTGACAGCCACGTTTCTTGCAGTGCAATAATGTCTGGATTGAATTTACAAGATAAATACAATAAATCTGTACTAGCTGAATGAATAGATCGGCAGTTCCAATGAAGAATTTTGATAGAACCTATCATTTTGACAGAATTGTTTCGGCAACTACCTTATCTAAAATGCTGTCTTTAAGAAAATCGCTCTTCGATAGGTTCTCCTTCTGGTATTTTTTGTTTTTTGAATGTTTTGAAGAGCCAGTATTTTTGGAGACAGGGGATCGAGTGCGCTTTAGTGATTTGATGTCCATGTCCATATCATCATAATCCTGACCATCCTCTAGTATGTCTTCACCTATCCTCTGGTTGTCTGTACAAGAGGGCCCTGCAGCCTGTACCCCTGAAGGAGATGACTCTGCGTCTGCTTCACTTGGAGGGAGAGTTACGTTGTCTTGGGAAGTATCCTTCATATCTCTTGGTGTCCCATATATTTGCGGCAACTGAGTGGCTACAATATGAGATAAGGAGTCACAAAGGGTGGTGGCCAGGCGATCTATAGCTTTCTCCATCGCTTTTTCAATCATGTCTGCAATGGACACTGAAAGAGAAGCTTCTAAAGTTGCATTATGTCGGGCTGCAACACCAGCATATCCCTGGGTTCTTGCCTGAATTTCAGCGATGGCGTCTTTTCGTGAACAGCGTCTGCGATCAACAATTTCCATAATTTGAGTCTCCCGCGCTTTGGCTGAGCAATTAGCGTTATCTGCGCAGTGCTGCTCATGACAAAGACAACACTTTTCTTCAGTACAATTGCATTCATTTGCAGTATGTGCCTCACCACATTTTCGGCATCTGGGAGCTGACCTACATCCTTTTAAAGTGTGTCCATAGCGCCAACATTTCTGACACTGGGGGGGGGGCACGCGCACTTCTTTCTTCTCTGTGGTGTGAGCCTTCACCTTGGCATACGACCCACTACTAGAAGTAGGTGGCAATATGTTGTTCTGGTTCATATTAAACCATAATAAATACATGGATAGCGGAGCGTTAGTTAAGATATGGACCAAAGAAGTGTCAGGATAACTGATCAAACTAATTGAATTGGTTGATTGTAGCAACAGATGGTTTTATTGCTGGGAGCATATCGCGCTGTATCGCGGTTTTATTGCTGGGAGCATATTGCATGTTGCGGCGCATATCGCAACCACACACTCCTTTGTGCGTGGCCTCAGATCCACTTCGGTAGGGCGACGACATACCAAAATTAACACCAAGCAATACAGCCGGGCACCCGAACGCCCAAGCACGAAGGCAGCTATACTAGGCACCTAAGTCATGGATTACGCAAGCCCCCTTCGTGTAGAAAGTAGTTACACTCTCCTCCTCTCCGGCGCTTTTTTCCAACAGGCTGAGCGTCCTCCCCCTACAGGCCGAGCCTCCTTAGTATCCTCTATCAAACGGCTGCCGTGCCGTTTGATTCACCACCGGCCCCATAGCCCGAGTCTCCCTCACATTCATATTGCTACATGTATAATACCAGCCTCCTGAACCATGCGCGTGTGTGCCCGACGAAGAGAACGATGATTATTTGTGGGGTCCAACGTCCCAAAACCACCATGATTTGAGAGATGCCGTAGTGGAGGGCTTCGGAGATTTCGACCACCTGGGGTTCTTTAACGAGCACCCAAATCTTAGCACACGTAGAGAGAGAGAGAGAGAGAAAGAGAGAGAGAGAGAGAGAGAGAGAAACAACATTTATTAATAACAAATGCACACTGAGCCTTCTTTGGGTGGGGCCCTCAGTCCAGGGCTCCATTGCCTTGCGCGACCCTGCGAGCCCGCTGGACCAGCTGCTGCTGTTCCTGCCGGCGTAAGCTGAGCAGTGCAGACTCCCAAGAGGAAGGGGTGGGATTGGAAATGGAAGGAACGCCCTGTGGGGCAGAGCATTCCCACGTGGAGTGGTACGCCGTCGGTACGGATCCACAGAAGGGGAAGTAGGAGGGGTAGAGAGTCGGATAGAGCGCACGTACCTACAGCACTTTTACCTTCACTGAAAATGCAGCCACCGCAGCCGGGATTAGATCCCGCGACCTGCGGGTCAGCAGCCGAGTACCTTAGCCACTAGACCACCGCGGCGGGGCGACGAAGAGAACGAACATATCCCCCCACTCGCTCTCCGAGCTGAACCGGTACGACCGTAGTTGTAAATGCATCTCGGAAATTGTCTACGGTGCAAGCGCCGCGTCGTTCAATTGGCGTAACAATATCAAGAATGCTATGTCACGATGATAAAGCGTGCTACGTTCGTGACCGGGAGGAGCCGGAAGCACGGTGATGAATCATGCGACGAATGTACGCGAGCTAGATGTGCGGCAGAAACGCGGCCCGCGAGGCACAAGGCGGGAGAGCAGGGCGTGCAGCGCGGCAAAAGTTAAAAGACAGTACTTTCCAACAATTTTCAGAGAATTTATGATTAGGGTCACCTTCGATTTTTTTTTGCTTTTTGACCCTTCGTGTCGCGCTGAGCATGCAATGATTCCAAAACGTTGCACCAGCGTTCGAGATGATGACTTTCGCAACGCGCATTCGTGCATAATATATCGCCGAATCACAGCAAATTAAAGCCTCTGCAACTTTCAGGGAACTTCACGGTTCTCCAGTACACGTTTGTACTACGACGTCTGCGTGGATACCACCTCATTTACGTGTACCTACCCAGCAGTCTGATTGTTTGTGCATCGTGGATTTGCCTCTGGCTAAAGGTAAGTGAGAAGGAAACCTTCCGCTTGAACAAGTGCTTCCATGGGTAAGGCTATACGCCACCGTATGTGAGGTTGGCTTGATTGCACATCCTGCGGAATCGTCACGCGTGTATTACCATATTGTCAACAGCCACGTGATTTGTGCACAAGGTGATCGTAAAGCTAAACACGTAAAGTACAAAGCGTTCAGACTTGTTGCTCTTATGGCGCAAAACATTGACATGCACCATCAGAAGAACTGGCATTAATATGTTGCAAGCTGCAATTTCGGCCCAAAGCAAAGCATTTGAACTGCAGTTTATAATGATTGCATGCGGGTTGAGAAAATCCAGAATCACCCTCGCACTACTTCACTACGCCAGGCGAGAGTAGCAGCCTTGATAGGAAAAAAAACTGAAACAAGGCTCCTGGCGCAAAGTACTGTCTCTACACTTGCACGTTTTTGCATTACCCACACCATAACTTGGCGGGTGAGGCTAAATAAGCGGTTAGTTTATTGGCCGTCTTCAAAGCACTCAATATTGCACGAATATTTTGATTTGTGCACCCAACTGGGTAAAGCCCTACGTGTGTTTCTCTGTTTTTGTTTTGTTTTTGTAGAATAGCGGAAATCCTGAAGCACTATTCCTGGAAGAATACAAGTCCTAACCATGGCTTCTATGACAATGAAATGATCACAACGCCGCGGTTTCCTTCAAGAGCTTCCATAAGAAACTCTGCTCTGCGCTTCCAAACCCTTATATCGCAAACTTCGAACTGTCTTCGAACGAGCCCGGACACTCACCTCTGGGTGGCGTAATTCGTAATGCCGTGATGCACCATCATACAATGTGCCCTAACGCACAGGTGGAGATACCTCAAGCCCGAGTGGCCCTGGGAGCGGTGACGATGCTGACGCTCGTGTCTCTGGCGAGCAGCGTTCGCACCACCATACCGCGGGTGGCGTACGTGAAGGCCATCGACGTGTGGTACGCCACCTGCATCATGTTCGTCTTCGCCTTGCTAAGCGTGGCCACCTGCACACACTACCTTGTACGGGTGCGCCTCAGGCCGCTCTGCGTGCGACGCGTGGACCATTGGGTCGTCGACATCTATCAGGTACTACAAGGCGCCCAACGAACTGTGATAAGTACGACGCTTTATTTATTTATGAAAATGCTTCCACTGAGCCGTCCTCGCACTGCAAGTATGCTGCCTTGAGTTTCCAGTCAGCCCAAGCCGCCACGATAGCTTGTGCCCTATCCAGTTGCTTAATAATCGTTTATGACTCGTTCCTCTGAGAGTACTAAACGTTTATTACGCAAGTGACTGGCATAAGCTATTGCGGCGATAGAGCGAACCACAACATTTCCTCGACACGGTGTTCAAATGGCATGCAGTACTTGACCACTCACCGGAAAGAAGGTCGCGGTATAGAATTCCGGCCGCGGCGACCGCATTTCAATAGATGAAAAATTTTATATAGGTCCCTTCGCTAAGATTTAGGAGCACGTAAAGAACGACAGTTGGTCGAAATTTTTGTAACCATGAACTACGACGTCTCTTTTCATCATATTTGGGGGCATAAATTTATTTGAGAAATTATTACATTAAATAGTAGGCCACATTAGTCGAAAGCCCGGGAGAAACCTGAAAAGGTTTGACAAAGCGTGCAATCAAAGAACAATTCAATGTCTAAGCGGGGCTAACTGCCCACACTATAAAACAGGGGTCCCATCTGGTCCCCTCTAGTCAGGCCATACGAGTCACAGCTACAAATACAAAAACAGGAAGCCACGATAAATGCGAATATACCATGGAGTGGCCTCATTCATTCTGCTGTGGCAATGTGTCGGACGTAGATGCGAACGCAAGCTGCTCAATCAGATTACACGAAATGAAAATAGCCTACATGACCGAATGATGTTGGCTTGAAAGCGAAGACGAGAACGGCAGTGGCACGACGGATCTCAATAGCGAGCCCATGGACTCAACCTCGCTCTCAAAGGCTCTCTGTGTTTGTGTCCACACGTGCGTGTATTTTATGCCTTGACCAACATGCAAAACATATTTCGAAATGGAAACATGCCCTAACCAAACAAAAACATGCGTACTCCATAATCATGGTGGCTTGCCACCATAGCATATGAAAAACATTTCGAGTAATCACCTGTTTTAACTGACCTAAACATAAACTACAAATAAAGTATGTACTACAGTATTCACCAATTGATACATGACATCAAGACTTCATTATGAGAACTCTTACGCCATGTCCCTTGAGATAACCAGGGCACGTCGCTACCAATGTCGACCCCAAAGTTAATGTCTGCTCTAATGTAAGTATTCGAGTCAAAATTGCAGAGATATGGTAGACAGTGAATACGGTTCAAGCGAAAATATACGTGCATTAACAAGCACGAAATGGTCGCGTTTTAATCCGTTCAAAATATATACACTACTTCGATCGGCGAGAACCATATGCGTAAACCTATTGAGACAAGCAGCGAAAATGAGCCTGGCGTTTACATAAGACGTTGTGTTTTGAGGCAAATAATAACAATCCAAAAAAAGATGCTCACCGCATGACCTGCATGCTCGGGCTTAGCATATCCTTGAATTTCGTTGTTGCATGATAGTGCGTTGACTTATCTCCTGCGTCAATTCCTTTTTCCTAAAGAATAACACTCAAGACACTGGGGCTCTCAAACGTATAGATGTCACCCTTGTACACACATCGTGCTTGGTTGCAGCTCCAGAAGAAGCGAACAAGCGCCGAGTTCTTCCACGCGCACTACGTTGTTTTGAAGCTTGTGGAGTACGAAGCGATGAAGGCTTGCGATGTCATTTTTCTGGTGGCTCATCTTGTGGAATGCAGTAGTGTCACTTGCACCGTCGTAGCACGCTTCTACACGAAGCGACGCTCTTCTTTACCCCTGAGCCGAGCCACCTGCTTGTACGCGTGCAAGTTGCCATTTTAAGTGTGAATACACTTTATAAGCGACCCCAAACCATCCACCACCGTCGGCGGCGTCCGCAGCCTTCTCTCTATCTTTAAAAGAAAGAGGACTTGGCGGGCCGCAGCGCGACGCTCTACCGAATAAGCCACGGACGCGACGCTGATATCGGCGTCAGTAACGCGCCTTATATCTTTAACGCCGCTGCGCGCATCCCCCTCCCCCTTCGCTCGCTCGCGATAGCTGATGCTATGAGGGGGAGTAAAATTAAAATCCGTTGGCATTCGCCAGTGAGTTAACGTAAACTCCCCCGTGTGATCAAATTGCGATTCCCAGGAACCATTACACCATAAAGGCACCATAGTGTGAGGAATAAATATAATAGTGCGAATTAATAAATACCCCTCATAGCATCAACCCGTGCATTCGCACTTAACCATGTTCACCCTCGGGGAAATGCTTGGGAGTTTTTTCGACACTCCTCACTTGGAGCACACCAGACGCGGCTCGGTGCCGTGCACACGGCTGAGGCATTTTCCAAGCCTTCTATGCGTGAAGAGCGCTACAGTGCTGCTTTCAACAGCACCGGTTAGGTTGCCGGAATTTTGCAGCGTGCTTCATGTCGCGAGTTGGCCTGCGCACATTGTGCATTATCTAGAAAGCTTGAACCAAGGAGCCGCGTCATCGTCGTGTGTTGAGCAGTCGGTCTTGAATTCACTTGGCTCGGTCACTCGTTGCTATAGTTACGCCGGCCACGAAACGAGCAAGATTGATTCAGATATCATCCAGCGCAAGCCGATAACGCTCTGCGGCAGTTTATCGCCCATTAAGACAATACAAAGAAAGGTACTAACACATCTGAGTTACGCGTGCAGCTGGAATTGCGTTGAAAATGCATGAAAAGACACGTCGCCGTTTTCTAACGTATTTTCCGAAATAAGTGCCAAACTAGTAAAAGCTGCAACACTTCTTGCTGGACGGGTCCGTTCGTTATACTCATTATATTCGAAAGTGGCCGATCTACGCACGGTCACATAAACAACACACCGGCTTACTGGAGCCCACCTGTGATTCACAACTCCGTGAAATCAAATTCACATGCATCGGATAAATGAGGCGCGAAGTGACAACGACGTCAATGACGTTAACAAATATCGCGTTCGTTTTCCAGCAGTCGTAATTGAGGCCGTCTGTTCGAGTGGCGTCTCTTGAGTGGCACGTCTCCGAGGCGGTCTTTTGAAGAACCGATATCATTGGCGGCAATTGATTGATATATGAGGTTTAACGTCCCGAAACCACCTTATGATTATGAGAGACGCCGTAGTGAAGGGCTCCGTAAATTTTGACCACCGGGGGTTCTTGATTGATTGATTGATTGATTGATTGATTGATTGATTGATTGATTGATTGATTGATTGATTTGTGGGGTTTAACATTCCAAAACCACCATATGATTATGAGAGACGCCGTAGTGGAGGGCTCCGGAAATTTTGACCACCTGGGGTTCTTTAACGTGCACCCAAATCTGAGCACACGGGCCTACGACATTTCCGCCTCCATCGGAAATGCATCCGCCGCAGCCGGGATTTGAACCCGCGACCTGCGCACCTGGGGTTCTTTAACGTGCACCCAAATCTGAGCACATGGGCCTACAACATTTCCGCCTCCATCGAAAATGGAGCCGCCGCAGCCGGGATTCGAACCCGCGACCTGCGGGTCAGCAGCCGAGTACGTTAGCCACTACACCACGGCGGCGGGGCCATTGGTGGCAAGGTCGACATTTTACCGCGTAACGGTATTGATACGCCCAGTGTCACCATTCTACAGTAGTAGCAGTCGCCGTCACGTGACCTGAGGGGCGAGGGTGAGGCTCGGTGGAAAGGGCTGCGCTTCACCGATACTGGCGTGAGGGAAAAGGCTCGGACGGAGGGGTTGAAGGTTACGAGCGTTGTTGAACGCTCACCCGGATGTGAAGAGGGATACAAAGGAAAATAACAAAAGCAGTGATGCTCCCGAGGACCTATGATTTGGAGAACTTTCAGAGCAGGTAATTTTGCATAATAGAGCACTCTGGAGCCGCTAATTTCATGCCCTGATTACACTTTATAGGGAAAGTTGCATTTATATTCAGGCACCTGAATAATTATTCCGCTTTTATGAAGAGCTAGAAATATTTATTCTTTGCGAATCTCTAAAAAAAATCGTCTCAGGAGCATTTTATATTTCACAGAAGAATAAAAAATTTGAAGTGCCATGCACTTAGTTGAGTGTCCCCAAATAACCTCTTTAGCAATATTTTTCTAAACTAACCAATAAACAAACTACAGGATACTGAAAATATTACTTTATAAAATGACACTGGAAATAAATTCATGTGGTTAGCAGAAACGGTAGATGAACAAGAAGAATGGCGATTTGGGCTAGTTGGTTTGAATTCATGATATTAAGGGTTGCAGCGCGAGCACGAATGAGCTAGAAGAAACAGACGAAAGTCGAGGTACGGAAGGCAAAGAGGACAAGACATGACCAGAGGGAGAAAGAATGACCAGAGGGGGAAGCATGACCAGAGGGTGAAGCATGACCAGAGGGGGAAAGAATGAGGGGTGCAGTCTACATGTTTTCCTGTCACGCTACTTTCCTTTCTCTACCTTTCCTTCAAATCCCACTTTCCCCGTTCTACAAAAGCGCCAACACATGACCCGCCCTACAGAGAGTTAACCTTAACTGGGAACATTACACGCTGCTGGTGCCATTTATTGTGCTTCTAGTGAACGTAGTGGGAACCGAGTGAATTGAGAAAGATGCGGGCAATGGCGGGCACGGTTGGAACGCTCGTTTCCAGTGACTTGAACTTCGCCTTCTTCAGGTCACGGACTTGCTGTTAAGCGCATCATTTTATGAACAACATTCAATTAAGGTTGTGTCTACCAATTACACCAAATCTTTCAGTATGGCTGAAAATCTTGGCACCAAAAATTGTTCCGCAGTCCGTTTAACATGACAAGTTGCACAGACCTGGTGCAATGCACAGTCACTTCTTGGGTCTTCCAACATACATTCAGAAATGCATAAATGCGATGGTGAGGCACTTTATCGTGTGAATTGTGAATGTGCCAAGAGAGAACGTTATGAGAAAGAAAAGAGCAATGTCTCAAAGGGGTTACTGCGACCTGTTCTGATGGTACAAGGCTTTTTAGTTCATCTAAGCCCTACCTCCCGGATTCAGAGCCATGGGCTGAGAGGAAGGCAGCAACTTAGGCTGTAGCAATAATGTTATTTTTGTCACCTCAGACATACGACACAAGGGACATCACATCTGGTGAGGCATTTTGCAACAAAACCAAGGCCTCTGCTGTCAGGCAGCAATTCTCGCTATTATGTGCATGAAGTGGAGCATGCAGGCCACTTGTAGGCTGGACGTGTCGCCACCTTATGGATACCACTATCACAGGATGCCTATGTGAACCTTCTCGAAATGCTTTGATACTGCAAAAAAAGCAAAAAAGTACGATAGAGTGTCTATTCAGTCTTTGTTTGCTGGCAGACGACACAGCCATTATCAGACCACTTAACGAATCTGGAAAGGTTTGCTGTGATTAACATGTAGACCATATCACACAAATTGAATTGAGTTACAAAGAAATCAAGTTTTGATACTATAACCCAAAAGCTATAATTGACGCGAAAGCGTCATTCACAATGGCTCACTCTTACAGAGGCTGATTTATGGACGCCGCACAGACCCGTTCCTGCTGACTATGGACAAGGATCACAAGCTGGAATGGCATCGCAAAGTCAAAATGTCTCAAGCTTTTGAAAGGGTGGCCCGATACATGTTTCCCATTATGTTTGGGTTCTTCAACATTGTCTACTGGTCTTTCTACGTTGAGAGGTCCTATTATCCCTGACACGCCACTTTTCTGTCATAAGCAGAAATTTAGCCACAATCTCTGCTCTACAAGGTGGTGTGTGATCTTGAAAAGCATGGCGAACGCTGGCCTATCCCCCATCACAATTGCTTTTTCATTGAAACAACATACTAAGCAAATTAGTTCTGTGGAAACCCGCAAGGTGGCGGAAGAGTTAAGAAAGGAAAAGAAAACAACCACCTTTTTCTTAACCCTTCCACCCCCTCAATTGCAATACTTGTGTCTATGTGCTTCGACTTGTCGATGCATTTGCCCCCACACTGTCAATTGCTAGGTTCCTTATCATGTAGCTCAACAGGCAGAGCGACCTAACTTGAAAGGCGTTTGTCCCGGGTTCAAACACCAGACCAGCACAAATTTTTGGGCAACTAAGCAGCTTTTCTTTCCGAGAAATCCGTACGGATTTTCTGGTGGCTTCATGCTACATACAGGTGGTTGTCTTTTTCCCCTTTTTTAGCATACTGAACAGTAGGCACTGCTAGTTGTGAAAACATTCTTACATGTTTTTGTTTACCAAGCATGGAGCTCATGTGATCTTCGTTGAATATAATACGTACTCATATCCTGAATCCTGTCAGCCAATTTTTCAAGGGCTTTTTGGGAGAACCCACAAAATATGAAATCAAACCATGATGCTGCGCTCATATGCTGCCTCACTGCAGTACTAGGAAGGACTTTTCCAGCTAAACAAACGGTGTGTCAAGCGTGGTGAAATAAGCGGTCAAAGCTCTAGACATTGGTTTCCACGTGCATCAGCATTTTTGGCAGCTACGAACGGTAGTGATGTGCTGTCGTCCCTGATAAGAGGTAGGTTGGCGGGCATATCTTAGTTGTTTTTTACTAAGAACAGTTCAGAGCGCTGCAGTATATTAGCGCATGAAATTGCGAGTTGAAAGGGTTTGTGCAAAGGGCAACAATATTTATTTTCTACTAAATCCGTGCAGTGCACTTTATTATGGGGCTTTGCAAAGAAGTTCACCCGGAGCTAATACTTGTTTGTGGACTAGCTGAATTTAAGCATTGTAATGAAAAAGAGCGCAAAAAGACAAGGGAGGAAACATACCACACTCATGTGTGTGGGCCCTTTTCCGCCTGTCTTCTGCAATTTTTTATTACAATGCTTCATTCATAAGATCAGTGGCGTACCAACTCTTTCACGAGTGAAGGGGCTAGCCTACCACACTTGTCAGCCGGTATATATATATATATGTATATACCGCTGTTCAACGAACCATCTGGTATTCACCTTTCTTCCTCGGCTATGGTCGTGTGCCGAAATTCACCATTGACGCCTCTTTATTCAATGTAAAGACAAAAACGTCCACGACTACGCCGGAACATTACGTCTCCAGGCTCGCTGAGGCACGGCAACGTGTTCAACTCAACACGGAAGCCAGTCAACAAGACCGCAAGCCACGCTATGACAGCTTTCGTCGAGACGTCACTTTCCGTCCTGAAGTTGAAGTATTACTTTGGACGCACTCCAGGATTGTGTGAAAAGTTTCAGTCACGCTTTCTCGAACCTTACGTTATTTCTGAACGAACATCTCCTGTCAATCACCTTGTCACTCCCGTCGAGGGTTCCTCGGATCGTCGTTACCGTGCCTCCGAGATAGTCCACGTTTCACGTCTTAAACCCTTTGTTCGCCGTACCTTTCCCGCCTAAGTCTCGGCCGGGCCGGCCGCTCAAGTGCGCGGGGCAAATAAGTGTGAGCATTATTTATGCATCCCATCTTTTCATCTATACATACTCATCATCACTATTCAAGCTTAGGTTCTGGGGCACATACTCGAGTCAATAAAGAAGAGTCCTTAGGGTTCTCAACGCCATCTTACAATATATATATATATATATATATATATATATGTGTGTGTGTGTGTGTGTGTGTGTGTGTGTGTGTGTGTGTGTGTGTGTGTGTGTTAGGAGACAGACATCTTCGACGCGCTCGCACTTTCATGTCATTTTTTATACACACAGCACTTGTTCAATAGCGCAAAAAAGAGCAGTCAGTTTTAACCAGCATGCACTTGGACAACACGTATATGTTTGTTATGTCCGCATGACTACAATTATGTTGAGGGCAGCCTCCTCAACAGTAAATATTTTAATATTGAATGAATTTTTATGACTTAAACAGCTCACAAAGAACTCAGTTTTTCAATGTAAAGCACTCCTTCGGGAACCAAAGGTATTTTGAGCACTTCTATCTACATATTTTAGCTTCTCGCTGAGCTCTAGTCCACTGCTTTATTCGTCGCCGCTTTGCAAGCTGCCTCCATCACTCCAAGTTGCCATAAGCAAGGCTGACCAGACATATCAATGTTAAAGTGGAAACCTTTATTGGCGCTTCCAGTACGGTAACATTAAAATATTCAGAAAGATTAGTCGCAGTCGTGTGCTCACAGCAGCTTCGACAGAGCAGCGGTGATGGTAATCCTTTTTGATGAAAGAAAATGGTTTTGCTGAAGCAGCAAAAGCTTTCATTAGTCTATAAAGAGTATGTTCGTTCCCATCTATAACTGCATCGGCGAGTTGCAGTAGTATAAAAACATGAACAAGAGATGTAATTATTAGGGCACCTGTCCAGTGCTAGCCTGTTCTGCAGTGCTACTATACAGTACGGAAAGCGTCGCAAAAAGCCTCCAAGGAAAATCGCCACTGTTGAAACGTTGAAAAATTACCACTACAATGTACCTTTGCCTTGAAATACTTTTTTTTCTCCTAACAATATAATTGAGTGATTACTAGTGGTGAAGAAAATTTTGCCTTGGTTGTTTTCCGCAGCGTGGACCCGACTGTGACCACTAGCTGTCGAAAGTGGTGGGGCTCAGTGCCCCCCCCCCCCCACCAACTTTTCTCAGGTAAGGGCTTGAGCCCCCCTTGCCCCCCCCCCCCCCCCCCCCAAGGCTGATACGCCTATGCATAGAATGCATCTACAGACATATGTCGAAGACGGTTTTGTGGTGCTTCTGGCATCCAACTTGAAAAGTGGCGCTAAAACCCGTGGCACGTTCAATCGTTTTTATATTTATGAACACTAGATTTCATATCAACTTTGCCATCTGTAGCTATGTCTTAAACAACTGCATAGTGCTAATTAACTCTTCTTTCTCGTTGGATCGTTGCACGAAAGTCTCTTGAATCTACCATGATTCAGTGCCCTGTAATGCTTGGACATATTAGCTTAAATGACTGTTTTAGTTGTTTTTTTTCAGTGTACTAAAAATACGGTTAAGCTACACCATTCCATTATTTATTTGAACACTTCGAATATCACATTACCGAAGCCAAGCAGCAAAGACCATTGAATTTATACTTACAAGTTCTGAACACTTGTAACATCTACAGTCAACGAAAAGTGAAGTTTTGCTATGAAGTACATAAACCCAGAATGTTTTATTTAATTCAATTAAAGCATGTAAAGAAGCACTTATAAAAAAATTCATTTTTTTCTCAAGTGTATTTTTTTATTGCATAGACGGCTAACATATATTTGAGCAAACATACGCTTTAAAACTATCGAACATTGCTTGTAGTATGCGCGAATTTTAATTCAGTGACTGCTACCATTGAAAAAAATGTTGAGGTTTTCTTTCCCCTCTTTGTTTTTCTGGCCCTCAGCAGGACTGCATGGTTTAACCATTAAGAATAATATAAGGCCGTCTCGAAATCATTGTAACATAATATGACAGAAAATTATGAATGCTGACACATGGTGCAAAATAAATAGGAATGCAACGTCAGCACTGCAGACTTGGGTGTGCCTTTTGGCAAAGAAAGAAGAGTTCTTAACGTTGTCAAGGAGTTCTACCATCACGTGTACCTGTACACACGGTAGTGACAGTGAAGCGTAGGATGGTATCTACAGCTCTTCCTTCGCCTTTTCTCCACAGATTTCTGAAAAAAAAAGAAAAAGTCAGGCACTACAAAGCACAGCTCGAGTCTTTGAAAATGCCCTGCAGCACTTTATCAACATGGTAAGGAAGTTGTGCAGATCCGTAGCGAAGACTCCTGTGAACATGCGAGCCAAAAATTATAGTACTGCAAGCATCAAAGAAATTACAATTAAGTTGTGTTTCAAGGACAGCTTGAAATCTTTCCGTAATCTCACAGAAACATTCGTAGATGGCCCAACTACCTAAATCTGAGGGTCATGGCCACTGATCGATTTGCGAATTGGCATGCTGCATAGGAACCGTGGCTACGGTGTACCTGCACCGCAAATTGTAAAGCTAGAACTACACTCTATACACAAGCATGTTCACGAGAGTGAGCAAACATGTTGAAAAAAAGAGGGGCTAAATAAGGGTCATGATGCATGCTGACAGCATCTTGCCCCTTGGCCATTCCACCAAGTAGCTTGAAGCATACATGTTGAAGGAAAGAAGGAAGAAAAGCACTTAAAGCATGTGACAAATCAGTATAACTCCAGTTGAACTTTTCGCATTCAGAAATCTTTTGTGGCCATTTATTTGTGAAGCCATAAACTATGACACTGAGGTCATTCGATGATTACTTGAAGAAGTTTCCAAAGCCCTTTGATGATAAACTAATGAGGAGCGTGGAGCTTATGCTGATTAGTCTGGTTTACCATCAATGCACAGCATTTTTCATGATGAAATAGTTTGGGGAGCTCAACTTCTATATTTTTGCACAACTTCCCAAACAACTTTAGATGCAGCAGAATTTCAATTGCTCTGGAAACAATAGTGACATTCTCCAGGCACTGAAGTAAAACACGAAAGAAAAAATGCTGCTACCCCTGACACAGGTGTAGTATACTCTACTGAAAGGCTATTGTATGAAAGTACAGTCGAAAAAAAATTTTCGACTTCCAATGTTGGCACCTGACAACGTGCTCGCCACAGTTGCAAAAGTACGGAGTATCATGGCAGTTTTCATAAGTACACAGCTGTTCAATCTTTTCATGATAATCTGCAATGAACAGTTGGTCTAAAAATGAATACTCTAGTTATATTTCAGTATGAGAAGCACATGGTAGGGGCTGAAAACAATATTACAGAGAATGCTATGAACTTTCCAAGAAGAGGCAAAATCTAAGTTGGGCCCATAGAAGTGAAAAATGGAGTTTTTGAAATTCGACAACAGCACAAGGACACTGCCTAACGAGCTGAAGGGGAGCCACATTGGGACCAGCGCTGACTAGAAGCGAATGCGCCTCTCCTCTCCACCCACCTTCTAGAGCATGTATGCTCGGCAGGGCTATCACCGCAGGACTGGTGTGGAGCATGCGTCTCGCCTTTCTTCATGTCCCCTATATACTACTGCTCACGCAAACAGTGCAATGACTGAGTGCACAAAGCAAATGCACAGTAGGCACACTCGTGCCTTTTTCATGCTTTTACTTGTGCGATGCCACAAAGACAAAACAGCCACAGTACACCTGCAGTATGGGCTCTCTCTATTCTTGAACCATAATTTCAGGAACGCAACTTTGACAGACAAACAGGTAAAAGGACACAAAAGACTAATTAAAAAATGACAGCATATCTACGAAATGAGTGATGGGAAGTGGGGCGAAGCTGGGTCCGCACGCCACTGCCTCGCCACTTCGGCCTCCCGTTATCGTACTGCAGAGTCCTCGTGGTGCGCTTCTGCTTCATGCGCCCGAACGTAGGGGTCCCTTTTTCGAGTTCGAACTGCCGCCGCCCTGCGCACACACTCCTCAGCAGGCTTGTCCGTTCTCCATTGCCGAGCCTCTGAATGCGCATGAGCGCCAGAACGGCGCTATTATTGTACTTGTAGTACAGTTATCGTGCCCCCTGGCGTACGCCACCGCCGAAAAAAACGCGATCGCCTCTCTCTAATCCCGTACGTGTGACGTCAATCCTTCTTTAAAGTAACAAGCAACCCCGTCTAGTGCCACACCATTAGCATTTTTAGCGTATAGTACAACAAATGCCCTCTATGGCCAGTTTAAGAATTAAGGAGGGGCGGTCAACGGTGGTTACGATGGGGACATTCGGGCTATGCTATAAGGCTTTTCGCCCCTAAAATTTATGTCAATGCGAAGGAACACTATTTGAGAACGTCTAAAATGTCGATATTGATACACAAATTAAGACAAGACTATTTGTGAGTGTGTTTACACTGATCGATCAAGACAGAAGACACCAGGCACAGCAGACAGGCCAGCCCTCTTTGTCGTCACGATCTGCCCCGAAGACCGTGGACGAGAGGGAGCTCCGAGGCACCGCTCTCTAACAAGGACAACCCTACACGCGTGGTGGAGTAACAGCTACTACTGACTGCCGAACAGCGCTCATCAGTGTTTATTATTTAAGCACGACCAAGGTTGCCTGCCGAACTTGGCGAGGTAATGATACTAGGCTAGACAGGGCACCAAAGCTTGTTACACCTCTCACCCCCAGTTATTGTACACAAAATAAAAAATACAAGTCCCAGTCGGTTCAACGTTGGTTTAGGTAGACGAAAAGCGGTCTGGGCCCTTCGTTGTCAATTGCTCCGCCTGGGTACAGGTGTTGAGGGACTAGGCGCAGTAGCACTAGGTGCTGCCTGAGCTGTTCTTGATTCCTTCTGAGATTCTGCCGTGGTTGTCAGAGATGGCACTGTACTTGCCGGCGGCGCAACTAGAGGCGAACAACTGGAGGCGCCAGATCCTTGCGCAATGGTTGGCTCACTAGCCGCAACAGGTGCTGCCATGGATGCAAGCCCGGTCCCGCAGTTAGCCCTCACATGGTCAGCACGTCGGTGCCATGTGGTTCCAGCCTGCATTCGTACGAGCAAAGCCGAGGAGCTTGCAGGCGAGACCACTTGTCCAGCAGACCAAGGTGGGCCAGAACGGAAATTTTTGGCAAATACTAGCATTCTAGGCTCAGGTAGTGCCCCAGGATGGCACCATAACTGGACATGCACCTACAGTAAGGACAACAGGCTTGGCTGGATTGAAGTCCACCAGCACCGGTGCCTTGGTGATTAGCTGTTTACTATACTCAAAGGCCACATCCTGTTACTTCTTCCACGCCCAAAACTGGTCATCTCGAAGCAGAATGTGCAGTGGCTGCAGAAGTGCAGACAGGTTGGGCAGGTCTTTGAAGCTCTTTCTTGTTTTTGGGCTTCGGCGCCTTCAGAACAGCCTCAGCTTTGCGAGGAGTCAGAGTAAGGCCAACCTGGGAGATGACGTATTCCCAGGTATGCTACACTGAGAACCTTGAACATGCACTTTTCATGCTTGAGCTTGAGACCAGCATCCTGAATTCGGGCCAGAATGTTGAGCAGATTCTGCATGTAGTCTCCGCAGTCAATACCGGTGAGGAGGATATCGTCCAAGTACACTGCCACGTGCCTCATGTCCCCCCCCTGAAGAGGTTGTCCATCTCTCTCTGGAAGATGGCAGGTGCCAAGGCCACGCCGCATGGCAAACACATATACTAAATAGCCCCATAGTTGCCGATATCATGACCTACTTCCGTGAGGCCTCTTAGAGCCCCGACTGCTGGTATGCTTCTCTGAGGTCAAGCTTCGTGAATTTCCGACCACCAGACAAAGCCACCCAGAGAAGTTCAATCCGAGACGGGGTACTTTTCGACAGTAGCGACGGGACTGATCGTAACCTTGAAATCCCAACAGATCCCAACACTACCGTCTCACTCCACAGTCTTGACTGGTACCAGAATGCCTTCTCGCTGTAACTGTTGCAGTTCCTGGGTCACACCGTCCTTAAGTGCGAACCGCAGCGGTCGAGGCTTGAAAAACTGAGGCCAGACTTTCTCGGGTACATGGATGCCAGCAGTCTCACAGGCGAATGTGCCCACCCCTGGCTTGAACAGTGACTGGAACTCTGTTAGGAGGCTGAAGATGTCTTGTACGCCATGTAGTGCTGCTTCCTGGCTTTCTGGCAGCCGAACACCCCGTGCGCAAATCCAATTCCTACAGAGCAGCGTCAGTGACAACCCCGTGGTCAAATAATACAGAGGAAGGATTGCTTCCTTCTAGCCAAAATGAACGCTGACCTGGGCCTGGCCTTGGACCTGGGAAAGCCATCTCAAATAACTCTGCAGCATGACTCCTGAAGCCTCGACGCCACTCTGGGGAATGTCCTTTTGAAAAGTTTGCCAGCCATGACCGACACGCTGGCCCCCATGTCCAGTTCCATGGAAATGGGGCGTTTGCAAACTTCAACGGTCAGTACTTAGGGCGGCACAGATGACGGGACAAAGCCTATGTGCCACATGTTGAAAATAAGTTGGTCCTCGGTCACGACGTTGAGCCTGGCCAAAGCAGAACCCTAGCCAGCTGCCACACTCCCCCGCCTAATCTGACGGAGGGCTGGTGTGGAACCTGGGCACGATCTAGGCTCCTGCTGTGGTGCGCAGTTCTGCTAGCTATGAAGCATTACCACCTACTGTAAAAGCACTTAAAACATGATATTCCGAAGGATGGCAGTTTGGTTTCAACCTACTGATGGGAGGTGCTGGGTAGGTATGGCGTGGCGGGTATGACCAACGGCAACGGCAATAGTGAGAAACATGCCAGGATGAAAAGTAAAGCAGACAGGCTGGTCGTCGGGTGTTTGCCATTCCGCAGGTTTCCGGAAGGGCAATGCAGGACAGGATCAGCAAGGGTTTTTAAGAAGTAAGGCTGTACTTCAAGGCCGGGTCAGGGGACACGCTAATGGAAGACAAAGGTTCGCAAACTGTTGCCTGACCAAAGCTTGACTTAAGGCTACCATTGGCTGTTATGGGTCAGTGGCATGTTGTGAAAATGAACAGTTCAATAGGAGCTGTACAGGCAGCTTCAATCTCCTGACGAACACTATATGTGACGTCATAGGTGGGTGACTGGTGAGCAGCTTCACATGACAAAGTTGTCTTGGGCAGCCGTGCGAATGTATGAGTTATGCAGTGGCTCTTCGC